ATATAAAAAATGCTAGTAAAAATACTTGCGACATTTCCAAACAACAAAAATTACATGTTAATAGCATATCTTTCATTTAACTGGCTGGGCAGACGCTTACAATAGAAAATCGACTTTTACTGAAGCTTTAAAAGTGACTTAGTAAGATGAGTAAAAACCACTCACACCAGTGGCTCACTCTAACACATTGGGTGGCCGCATTTGGGAGGTGTAATATCACGTGACAACAAGATACTTCAAGTACAATGACACCACGTTGAAAACGGTAGATTTCTCGCAGACGGATTAAGTAAAGAGTCAGACTTCACATGCTCTCGGTCACGTTTAATAGGTATATGCTAATGCATGTCTTTTCTGAAAACAAAGGGTCTTTGATCAAAAAGTTGCCTTCGCCAAACCACAATCCTAAGAGCAGGAAGTGTTATCTAAAAGCACGTCATGGGAAGATTAGTTTAGTTCCGTTTCTCAGGTCTTTTAGCTTGGATTTAAGTGAAAAACATCTTAAGTTTCATTCAAGAAAAGAAACGCCCAAGGGTTTAGCAAGTCGTGCATTAGACGGGAGACGAAGGTGTTCAGTAATGACGCAACGTTCCAGACGTCTGCCATTCATGATGTCAATTAGTCAATCAATCACTTCACTGGACATTTAACCGGACATGGTTTCGTTTGACTGACGATCAAGGGACATAGTGCAATCAGCTGAAAGCTGAGTCATGTCTCATGGATTACGTAACAGAAGTGCCACAGAAAAGCGAATAGGCCGACCTACCACTTAAGACAGCAATGAAAGTCAAGTTAGCTAATTGTAGTTGTAGTAAATCATTCAACACTGAGGGACTTACAGATGTCTTTAATTATAACTGCTAGCCAACGTTGAAGCAAAATTTAACTGGCTAAAGTTGGAAAGCCATCGAAGATTTAAGAAGGCTTATTTTCAAACCCATACTGGATCTATTTCTTATAGGAGCAAATCTCTAAGGAAAAAGCAGTTTATCAACTTGTTGGGGCAAACCTAGGGTTATATACCTTGAATTTTTTTGACAAACGGGAAAGAAATAAAGACAAAGGAAAATCAAGTGAATTGTGGCGGCAGATCTATGTAACAGAGATTATTGAGAAATTTGTTGGTACTTAGTTAACACTTCTTCGAAAACCGGATAAAGCGCTCGGAAAACAGTCAATAAAGTTGTTTGGTAAATTTTAAAATGCTTATTTTAGCCTCGAAATAAAATTAGCTCGGGAACTCTTGAAGAAGGTCCCAAAAATCTCTGCAATGCTCATCAATTACATTAGATGTACTAATATTTTTCAGATATCGTGCAAGTTTTCGACAGATTGCCGTTCGGAGACAAACTCCTCGAGAGTGTACTCAGGCTAGGAGTGGGAAGAGGTTAACTTTTTATAGGATCAAAGAGGCACCGCCGTAGAGAGATTCAAAACGAAGAAATCACAAACTAATGAAACTCTAAAAAAACTATGGATGATGTCTTCGAATGCACGCTCCCAAAGGTAAGCCATTCAAAAACTCACGCCACTTGTCACTTCCCCAATTGAATTCAAATGGTTTTTTACGTTTGGTCACGCGATTTTTTAAATAATGAAACGACAGTTAGAATGGTGCTAATGGCATGTTTGCTCGGTGACTTTGCAAAAGATGAAATAACTTTTCGTGCGTGGAAACTAATTACAAAAACGCTCTCGAAGGAGTATGCACGTAATGCTAGCCGAAAACTACACCCAGCCATTTCAGCTCGATGATAAATTACGATAATTTAAGAACAATTTAACAAGCACGGTTTCCCTTGGAATTTAACCAATGAATTCAAGACCACGAATTATATACGCTTCAAAGGACGCCTACTTAGCAATTTAAAAATATATATTTTTAGACATTTAATTACAACGTTCCGGTTGAAAGCGTATCGTTGCTCTTACAATGGCACGCGAAAACTTAATTGAAATGCAAATATTATGCATTTTAATTGCTGCCGACTTTTTATAAGACTGACAGCTTAAGTACGTTCTTCGCTTAGTGTCGTGGAGAGACCCAGTCTGGAAACATGCAACTCTTGGCCAGTGTCAACCCTTGCGACGAGGTAAGAACGAGACTACTCTGAGTACTCTTGTTTTATTCGCCTCCATAACTACACATGAATTATCAAGCGGTAATATTATCGGTATCATTAGGTTCCTTATTTTCCTCCCAAAAAAATTGGGCAGAAAACCATTTGAAGCGGGCTAGTGAAGTATCTTGCCATTCACTGTAACAATGTATGCCTCAATCAAAATCCTTGACGTTCTGTCAGGTGTAATGTACCCAAAGTGTTTTCCTCTTTAGACATTTTAGCAAAGGAATAAGCCGGAAAAGATCCATGAAGCTTGAGCAGATTGAACTGAAATCTATCCACAATGACATAAGATGTATACTGAGTGAAGTGCAGAATTTTAGGCAATGCAGAACTACCGTTAGAAATTCGTGTCGCAGAACTTTCAAACTCACTAGAAAACAAAAGCCGGTATGTTTGAGGCAAAGGTAACCCACAAGTTTAACCGGATTAGCTGCTACAGGGACCAATATCGGAGACAATCAACAAAACTCAAAAAGCCAAAAACTTGAATTATTAAAAGCCTTGAAAAATGAAAAAACTTCCACAACCAGAGATTATTAGTACCTGGAGATAAACAGTTCTAGTTTTTTCCTGACATCCAAATATGTCGTTCTCTTCTAAAAGCCTTCCTGCTTAAAGTACTGAGGTTAAACAGTGGAGTGAGGTCATGGGAAGGGAAAGTTTTGATTTTGGCGAAAATTATATTGTAAGTTAGGTGAAATGTGATGAAGACACTTCAACTCACTTTGATTTTCTAGTACACCAGAAGATCGACTTCTCAAGAACACACAAATCTGTTTCCTAGGTTTAGTTATAATTGACATACGATCAGAGTACCTTGCCTGACCATATGTGGGTGATCAATACGACCTGTAAAGCTTAAATCCACTAACACGCATGTCGCCGTGTTGCTACCCGAAAACTAAACATCGATTTCCGACGATACACACTTCAAACGAACAACATATTCCTTCTTGGCTCAATTTATAAAAAACCTAATTGCTGTTCCAGTCGTGAAACCCCAGTCCCCTCCCCCTTGATTTGCTCCATCGTGACTATGCAAATTTCCACCAATGGTTCTTCAATGTACAGGATGACTGTGTTTAACCTATGACGTAAAGGAGACACTTAACTACATCCGTGAAAAAATTAGGGCCTAAGAAAACTCACGAAAGCGCTGCAAAGTGAACTACTCCATAAGTGACATCGCGCCGTGATCCAATTGGCTAACCAAAGTTCTCAGTCTCCCACGTTGTTTAAACTGTGCGATAGTGTAAACATGATAAGATGTACCATTAAGATGAGATACATGGCCGAATTTTACCAGAAAAATGAACACACAAAAGTTTCACGCACTAATGCCGTGACTGCGCCAATTGTTTTGAGGGTCGCTTTGTCTTGAGGCAATGTTTCGCTTGGTAGATTGATTCGAGCGCTAGAGTACTAAGGCGGAAAAAAAACGGCCGATACTTTAGTGACGGTAAAAATTGACTAAAACACGCCAAGTCATGGAAAACTGTTTAAAATATTTCAAAAAAAACCAATCCACAGTTTCACGATAATCTGAGAGAAATATTGTATGACGAACTGATGTGGAAAAGCTGAGTGCGGAAAATATGCGAAGAATATTCAACAGCGGAAGCTTTTAGGGCGACCGACAAAATTCAATCGGATCTCTCGCCGTGAATTCATTCTGTAAAGTACTCTCAATATTCCTCAAAAAAAAAAATAAGTATACGTTAATTACTCGGCTTCTTGTGCTTGCGGCGAGGTTTTCATAACTGGACTTTAAAAAGCCGCATTAGTCGATTCTTCCTTCTTTTTTTTTTCTTTTTTGGATAAAAACACTTTGTAAGTTATTCCTTCCTAGTGCGATGCGTTTGGTAGGAGTTGATCAATTAGGCTTACAACATACTCGGCATAACGTTCCAACGCACAATCAATTTTGAGAAAACGCGGGAATTTTCCATTTCTTTTTTTTCTTCTTTTTTTATTCACAGTGGTCACGATTTGAGACACTTTTTTTTTCTCTTGAGCCTGATCTTAAAATTCAGCCAATCACTGGCGTCCAAAATAGAGAATCTACTTATGTGTTTACTATGCGAGGAGACACTGTTTTGAAAATAAGAACCGAAATAGAATGAATTTTCACTCAGACACACAAAACAACTCATATTATGCCGATTTGAACCTGAATGGAAATTTTACGTCTGGTTGAACAAACTTCTAGACCTCATCAGACTCTCAAGGTAATTCTGCTCTTTAAAATATTCTCATCTTAATACATATACTTTTAAGAGTGGGCGTTAATGGAAAAACAAACACGAACGTTCAAGAAAGTCGAAAAAGAAGTAACTTTCGCCGCTTTAAAACGCGGGTGCGACGGTCTACATCACGAAGAGTCTAAACAAATTTGTGTATTCACTTGTAACCGTATTTTTCTCCATTACCTTTGCAAAAAAATCAGCGACTTTTGGGTAAATGAAAAATTTATTATGAGAGAGATCATTAAGGCCAGAGTGTGGCAAACCAAAGCTTTTATCTTTTTCAGCGCAGAACAAGTCACGCACATCCCGAACCTTACTGTATGCACCGGAAACGCGCTTTTGCGAATTGATACTTCTTGCTAGGTCAATGTTTCCGTCGTTTGCATGAGATATAAACCATATGCCAAGTAAATACGCCTGCTTATCCGACCTCGTATCGTCTGGCGGGGAAAATAAGCATCGAATGGTACATTGCTGTTTTTTAAGATCTCCAAATCTTCGAAGAGTGGCGAAAAATAACAAGAGGCTATTCTCCTGTACTTTAGGTAAGATTTCTATCAAATTAGTCTGAGTGCTAAGTCAATTAGTTTACGGGGTTTTTTCCAGTGATGTTATCAAACTCAAAAAGAAATCGTGTATGTAGAAATGTTACGAGAAGCAGGGCTTTTATCACGGCAGGGACATCTCGAACTCGGAAGCTAGCATGTAATGGAGAGCTCACTTGGCGAGTTAATAGAAGTTCAACTCATCTTTTAGCGCGGCACAGACCAGGTTCGCAGCTGCTTCAAATATTTGAGGCTTCCTGTCATTTTCGGAGTGCTTCCAAGTTTGCTTTTCTTATTCTGAGTAATTTATCGTGTGCGTAACGAGTTATTGTGTCATCAAGCCAGAAAAGCAACTGTACAGCAAAGAACCTAACAAAACACAAGAAATCGACCGCGAACAAGGAGGTTGTAAAGGTACAATTCGTTTATTCCTCTTGATATTGACACGACCAAGCCGAAAATACGACAATCTCGCGAGCTTCGGTTACTATTGAGTCACGTTCAGTTAATTCAAAGCGAGAGGTAAGCCTGGAATTTTCCATACCCCCGAAAAAAGCTCTATTTTCGATAGGGTTATCGCAACAACCATCTGTTCCCATCTGTTTGCTGAAGAGGAAAAGTTTAATGCGATGCAAATATGTTTATTTGCGTTCGGCAACAGAAGACATCCTTTCTTTTCTTGTGCGCGTTTGAATGATCCACCCGGCGGAAGAAGATTTTTCATTGAAAATAAAACAGCTATTAAAGGAACGGATCTTGTAAGAGGCGGTTTGCTTTAATGGCTCGCTATCTCGCTTCGCCACAGGCAGAGGAGTGGTCGTTTCAGTATTGCCACAGGGATGATGAATAATAAACTTATCTACCGGTCGGTCTGATATACTTTGGTATAAACTATGGGAAGGCGAGCGATCGTGGTTTAAGAGACGAGAGGTTATCGTAGGTTTAAGAAAGGTTTATGATAAACTGTCTGCATGTCACAGCTTTCTGAGGTGTTTGTGCGACAGCCTTTGGTTTAAGACACTGAAGAGGCTTTTATGTCTTATGACGAGAAGATGGGTAAAATATTAAACTAATAAACCTCAATTTGGTGCGAAAATTGCGCGTTTATGGCAAACAAATACCGGAAATGGTACGTAACTCAGCCTTTGTCAAAAACTGTCAAGCTCACGTCAGGTTTAATGAAACTCTTCAAATGCGCAGCTTAAATGAATGCGATTGTACAAAGCAATAGAGAGATCTTTATCAAACCACCTCGGGGCATTCGGACTTCTGGCATAGTCGTTTTGCCCCTAGGATAAGCCAAGACGGTCATTCAAAGGCCAGACCAATGACCATTAAAGACAGCGCAAAAAAAACGACTCTCCGCCTTTCAGGAACGTGCGCTGAGAAATGATTGGTGAGGCGGCGAAATTTAATAAGCCTTAATTAGTTTCCATGGCAACGGATATGAATAGGTGTCAATCAAATTGGGTTTCCTGCAGTAAAGCGGACCGATCACAGAAGTCAGGTGGTAGACTCCAGTGTTGCAGTTTAGCATTTCTATTGTTATTTCCACTCGTGTGTTAAGATAAGAGAAAGTCTGCCTCCCTTAAGTAATTTACATGCTTTTACAGCGTATTAATATCTCGGCGCGTTTGAACGAGGCCGAGCGCGGGTTTCACGGCAGAATCATTTGAAGCCAAGGTAACCACTACAACTGAGAACGTTCACCCAAGAATTTATTTTCCAATCATCGAGTGCTCAGCTTGCAGAAGTTAAAGGACAGCAGAGTTTCTTTGCTCATTTCACCAGTTGTTTAATCTTGTTTACTTTGTTATTTGAATGTTATAGGGGAATGTGGTAAGAGGAGAAAACACCGATCTTACCTTGAAAGATTATTCAGACACAGTCAAATACCTCGAACAACTGCAAGAAATCAATCTGAAAACCTTCACCGCAGAACTCGATAGAAAAGAAACTGGAATTTCAGAGGAGACAGCCAACAGGGCTCTGAACTCCCCTGTGCCTTTCAACAGCATAATGTATGGATCCAGAAGTGGGCTCTACGCAGGTCGAGTGTCAGGGCCAAAATTTTCGGGCGAAACACACGAAGACCCTGTAGCGTCAAGAATGAGAAATTACAGTAGAAGTTATGACTCTTTTGATCGCGCAGAAATAACTGGTGGCGCCGGCAATGGAAGAATGATTAATCCACCGGAGAGAAGTACTGCAGCCATGTTTGATTATCATTACACGGATCACAATACACATGGTGGAATGTCCACATCAAGCGGTGTTAAGTTGCCAAACGTGAACACCGCGCAAAATGGATTTGCCACAGAAAGTGCAGCTATGCATTATTCTCAAGGTGCTGGAGGTGAATCTTTTCTTCCTTCTCCCCAGAACTGTCCACAGCCAGTAAACATTAACCCTCTAGCTGGCTTATCAGAGCTGGCCGAAAAGGCAAACTTTGAGTCTGAACTCGCCAGGGATGGCGTCGCTCAGTCTCGGTTTAGCTCTCAAGGAAGTCGCGGCCAAATAAATCGCCCGGCTCGTCAGTACAGCTACCCAGAAGCACCGCGTACTCGCAGTTGGTCAAGTTCGGGTTCTGATGGCGTTGGAAGTTACTTTAACGGCCGGCAACAGTCATTTCGAGCTGACAACTTCTCGCCATCCCTGTCAACAGGGAGTTCAGTGCTATCTGACTCGGATCTTGGCAGTCCATGCCATTCGACACGAGCACGGCATTTCTTTCCGTACAGCGAGTCTGATTCGGACCTTTCACCGACGGAACCGAGCCCTGGCTATGCGTATGATAGAAACAGGGCATACCAGAACTATAATCCGAGATCGTTTGCGAATTACCGGGTGTGGAGTAACCAGGCTGAATCCATCACTCCCAACGTCACTGTTGTACCGGATCCGAGGAGCAAATTATCGCCACTGTTCAAGTCTGGAAGCCGAACGACGAAATCCGAGCAAATTCTCAAAGAACATTTGCAAACATTTGGTAAGTTTTTGTCTACGCCAGCGGACAAAGACGACGAGAAAGCTTCCCTGGCAGAGAATGAGAAAAAATGGAACAGCGGAGAGGATTCAGTGAGAGAAAAGAAGCCTCCCACGAGCTCATCAAATGCTTTAAAGGAATCGCTTCCCAGCGAAGAGAGCAGTGTATTCCCTTGCAAATGGGTTGGGTGCGATGGACTTTATTCAGAGCAAGATGACTTAGTGCGGCATATAGAGAAAGTTCACATCGACCAAAGAAAAGCCGATGATCTTTATATATGTTACTGGAAGGATTGTAGCAGGCAGCGCCGCGCTTTCAACGCCAGATACAAATTGGTGATTCACATGAGAGTACATTCGGGTGAAAAACCCAACAAGTGTACGGTGAGTAGTACAACAAACTTATTATGTCGACTCGTGTTTGTTTTGCATTGTTTCAACCTTCTTTCATATGTATCGCGTCAATTATTTTACACTCAATTTGTGCGATCAAGAGAAATGTTTCGCCAAACCTTTAGAGCGCCACGTCGAATATCGACTACACTTAAGAAAGACAACAGCTCTGGGTGTTATGTTTTTGTGAAATTTCTAAAAATAACCCCAAAAGTAAATTTCAATTCATTTAGCGCGCGGCGTACTTGAACTCACGAGCGGTATTCAAATGCCATTTGCGCTTAATTTAATCATGTTTTTATGGACCCAGTCACAACATTTTCTTCTCTCTGAGCGAAACAAGGCCGGCTTTTGTGGCTCTGCTTATAGGAGGCAACAAGAAATACGTACAGGAAATGCAAGCCGCAATTTCGCACGATTGCGGTGAAGAAAACAAATGTCTCCATTTCAAAAAACACCGTTCGGTAGCTATAGGTGACGTTCTTGACCGGTAGGCATTCGTTCCCTCACGCCAGGGTTTCTAGAGAGATTTGCATAAGACACAATAATTACATTGTTTGTCTTTCATTCTGGCCTCTGGGGCTTCAAATTCAATAGCATATTTGTTATACTTGCGGTTCGGGGCAGCCGGGAAGAAAAACAAATTTTTTGGATTGTCATCAGACAGACGGAATAGATCACGAAACGATTTAATCCCTCGCAAAAACAATCTATGAAGTCTTGTGAGGGAAAGAAGGTAATCGAACACTAAGAAGAGATTATCTGTTTCATTGACCTAGCACTGGCTCTTGAATTTCGGCAAAAATTTGACATGTTCGAAACGGTTCAATGTGCACCATGTGGTTAAAACTCCGGGAGGCCAAAAAACAATTGTTATGGAACCAATCATTTAACTCTAATATACCTTGGTTGTTCGAAAACCGCTCGCGTTCTGCACGAGAAAAGAAATTAAGCGAACAAAAAGTAATCTAGCTTAACACCTTGTCGATTTTAAGTTTCTATTCTTCTCAGATTAGTTACTTTGGTAAAAAGGTAGAGCATCGTACTGTAGGAGTGTCCGAAAGTACAAAGAGATGCGGCTTTGAAAAGTTTCAAAATTGTTTTCTCGCTTTCAACGAAAGGTGTACTTTTAATTGGATTTAACGAAAATTTAAATATCTCTGACTTGAAATCAGTTGCTGCGCGATGGCGTTCAGATTCAGGAGCACCGCGCCAGTGAACGCTTTTCAATTGACCTTGGATAAACATGGCTCCCGCTGCTGGCGTGATTCTCAGGTCACGGAATATTTGGCGAATATTTTTTAACATATTACTAAACCACCTGTCTTGTACAGTGTATCAAGTGATATATTGTTCATACAGGCCTTACATTTCAAATTGTCAATACCTATTAAAAAAAAAAAAAAAACCTCTTGTAATTTGTTCAGGCACGATTTCACTACGACGTAGAGTTTGCTTCTGAGTAAACACGGCGAGTATGTAAGAAGTTATTTTTAATTAAAATTTCACGGGTATTTTTTAATATTTTCTTAGTGGACAACATTCAAGTGATGCTTTAATTATGATTTTCCAAGACAAAAAACGTGATTGATAAGCTTCATTTGTATGTTAAATTTATACACCTGTCACAAGAGAGATAAAAATTCTACAGCTTTTTTTAAGAGCCGCGTCAAAACCAACTTTTCCCCATCTTGCATATTTAATAAGCTCCATAAAATGTTACCAGAGTCACGACAGTTTAAGAATCAGAACTTTCACTATTTTTCTGTAAATCATTTAAAGGTCTTATAAACAAATTTAACTTACATTTCTTCTTAATTATTTTTACTCGTTTGTTTGTGGTTTTCGTGCACCCATTAAGCGCCATCCCTATATCAATCAAAGTAACATAAATTTGGAGGTGGTCTATTGTCCTTATAAAGGCAAATTAATTTCTTTTAGACATCATAGTTTAAACATTTTCTTGAGACAACCAGCAGTTTGTTTAATTTTAAATTGAAGCATAACCAGCTAAACAAATAACTCGCGTATTGTTTTCGAAAGACTATTTCACGAAAACTCGACAGCAAATTTGATTGCTGCAATTATTAACCAGTGGCTCTGCGCAGTGTAGTTCTGTGACAATAGCCTTCCTGTCGGTAGAAATTCAAAAGAGTACGTTTCTATACAAATGCTATTTCAGTAATGAAAATCTGTATGTAAAAGTACATAAGCGGGCACCAGTAAGCACATGTAATATACTATCATTTATTACTGTCACGAGTCTCAAAATTAAAAAGAAAAGCTCTATTGTTTCAATGTTATTTACACAATACAATTTATTTCCTTGATCAAATTTACCTGAAAACCAAGAAAAATAGATAATAATTTTAGTCACAAATTCTCCAATGGAGTTAAACGATTTTTCATCTCCTTCTTTTGAGAAAAAGCTCCAGCTGTCCAAAAAATTACTGATTGGATTTCTTAAAAACATGTGCTAAATATAAAAATTTAATATATTTTAAAGTTAGACAGGTGTGCATGAGCTTGCGATAAATTTGTAGATCATCCTTCAATAAAATATTTTGGCCTCTGAAATTTTTTAAATATCTTGTTCATTTAACAGTCCGCTCAACACGGTTAAAAGTTGACATAGGAGAAGTAAATAATTTTTCTTTCCTTCACTACCATTTATATTCAAGAAAAACAACAACAAATCTTTGTTCCATCAAATAAAAATTATGTTCAGAGCATTACTAGCAAAGTGAAAAAATGAAATTTATATACAGTTATTATAGACAGAGAGCTGAGTTAAAAGTCATTATTTTTAACTCAGGGTAGACTAGAGTCACATCTGTGGTTTTATCAGGGTGACCTGTCAATTCGGTAAACTTAAAGCCTGAAAAAGTCAGAGGAAGGAAACATTTTGAAAAATATTGTCCAACAAATATGTTCTACACCCTATCAACAATATTGAATGCTATACTAAAAATGTAGCTTAGAAGTTCCCAAAAAAAAAAAAAAAACTGCAATAAGTTGACAGGTGTCAATACTTGTGCAAGACAGTATCAGATTGCAAGCAACAGTATTTTTACTCCAGTAAGACAGACTAAGTAAATTTTTTTTAGAGGTCATGGTTATTGTCTGCATAAAAAAGGTTTCCAAGTTCAATTAAACAACAAGAAAGTTCAAATATAGTACCATGTAACTCTGTCATGTCTTTTAATAACTTGTGCTACTTAGGACCCACTTGAGTCCAAATAAATTGGGAAGTCTACATTATGAAGAAGAGTAATCCCTTATTGGAAACATTTTTTTAGGTTTAAATAATGGGAAATGACTCCTAAATATATTAAGGTACCACTGCAAAAAAATTCTGCCTTGAAAAAAACTTTCAATGCAAGAATTTGGTGAATTTAATTGATTCTGTAGATTGTTTATTTGTTTTATTCTAAAGCCACTGACAAAAAAAACAGGAAGTTTAAAGTTCTGCTCACATTTGTGATGTAACTCAAAGAGACTTATCCAAAAGTTTTAACAAATATCTTAAAAGTTATTGCACAAGTGTCTCAAAACTGACTCTCTTATATTCATTGTGTTCATCTGAAGTGAGAGTGCCAAAATTAATTTTGATAAGCTGTCCACAATTTACAATTGTCTTACATAGAATTGCAATTTCCCTTATCATTTAAGATCATGCTGTATTGCAATTGACTTATCATTTTTTTTTCTTTCTTTCAGTTTCCAGGATGTAATAAAGCATTTTCCAGGCTTGAAAATCTGAAGATTCACATGCGATCACATACTGGTGAAAAACCATACCTTTGCCAACACCTAGGCTGTCCTAAGGCATTCTCAAACTCATCTGATCGGGCTAAACATCAAAGAACACATCAAGATACGGTAAGCATTAAAAAGTCTTTTCCTTGTCTTCCTAACCATAACACATAACCTCTCCTCACAGGTTTGGCACATTATTAAGCAAGCATATGATGAGAATACAAATATTCATCTGCTACTGATTGTTATCTTCAGATAATATCAAACTCTCCTAACTTATTTAAAAGGAAATGTGTAGTGATAGAAGGAGAGAATAACTTATCAGATCTTGGGACTTATGGTTTCAGTCAAATGTTAAGTGCTGAAAATATTAATTTTGCTGTTTAAAATGAATTTTAGGTCAAAATGATTTGCTGTCTTTTTTGTTTCAAATACATTACCATGTCCCATATAAACAAAAGAAATTCAAATAAAGCTAGTCTGAAATCACTTTAATCAGAAACAATATTGAAGTATAGCAAAAGCAATCATGAAACAAAGAGTGAAATGCTTCATAAGATGGATTATTAAGATCATTATGTCCTTGTGACCTCCCAGGGAAAAATTAACATGCACTTCAATGGGGTAAAAAGGTTTTTCATCAGCATAATGAATAGTACCTGGAAAGGTAATTAGAAAAAGGAAAAACACCTTTTAAACCTTTGACCCCTAAGGGAGACTAGCATCTAATTTCTCCTTACAATATCACCCTGCAATCACACATTAAGGTCATGAGAATAAAGGAAATGATCACCAACTAAAGAAGCTCTTGCCTGTTAAATAAATTCTCCATGTCAGCACCTTAGGAAACGTATAGAGAACAGTAAGGAGAATATGTAAACTGATGTTAGGCATAGAGGGTTAAACTACTTCATTAACCCTTTGTCTCCAACAAGAGACAATTTCTCTTACAATATCAATACAATATCAAGCAGAAAAGTGGTAAGAATAATAAAGACAAATATCAATTAGGGGATCCATAGTTGATCCAACACCAAAATGCTCAAAACTAACATCATAGGAATTGTATGACAGACAATGAGGAGAATTACTGATAAAATCATTTCTTTCTTTTTGTTTTTGTAGAAGCCATATGCCTGTCAAGTACCAGGCTGCCCCAAGAGATACACAGACCCTAGCTCACTAAGAAAACACTTCAAACAACATGCTAATGGAAAGATGCCTCAACAGAACTCAAATGGAAAGGTGAGACAAGTTTACAGTACCTGGTGGCACACACATTCTGCAGTTGTAACATGGTCTTAATAATCTTTCATACTTTCATGTTTGGGTTGAAGAATGCTAGGAGATATTAACTAATAAAGCTACTCCAGAATCAGAGTTAAAAAAAAAAATACAGCTGTCTTCATGCAGTAGTTATCATAAGCCTCCTGTGAACAACAAAACTAGTCAGTTAACCTTTTAACTCCCAAAGGTGATTGACATGAAACTTCTCCCTGTAATATCTATACATTATTCAACAAACAGGTATTGAGAATATTCAAACTTATAAGGTAGAAGCTGCTATCTTGATCCAGCACCAAGTTCTCATAACTAATTTACAAGGAAATGTGTAGCACGTATAGAAGGGAGAATTAACAATCAGATGTTGGGAGTTAAAGGGTCAAGAGATTGTGGAGGGTTAAAAATATCTGAGAGAAAACAAACTTGTGACATTGACAGAAACAGCTGAAGATAAAAGAAAGTTCAGGATTTAAAGGTTTTGTTTTAACACTTTCTTTTTTTCTCTGTAGTCTAAACAGAAACCAAGAGGAAACCGATCATCAAAAAGAGATCTCCTCTGTGCTGGAGTGACAAGACCTTTACCAGATTTTGGCTATGTGGATGAATTTCAGGCCAGAAAGAGGCAGAAAACATTGGATACATTGCGTCAGACAACTGAGAAAAAAATGGCACTTGAAAGTGGTTTTGCTCAAGCACACCTGGATGCTCAGCGAGCTTGGTATGCAGCAGAAAGTGTTTATGGGCAGTATACTCCACCACCATTGCAACCTGTTGCTAGAGCAAGCACACCAACACCAGAGGAAGAACCTGGAGCACTTCGTTTCACTCAAATGTTAAGTAGCATGGAGATACCAACATTTGAAGACACACTAAAGCCGTTATCAAGTGCCTATTCATAGCCAAGAGTAAAATTACAAGTCTGAGATGTTTTGGGGAGACATCATCAATTAACTTTAAGTAAGGCTATGAAGCAGCTTTTTTTTTTCCTTCAAGGGAGTAACACTTCCTTCCAGGATACTTCCTGATGAAGTAACTTTGCAAGAATCTGGTTTAGAAGAACTATTGACCAGGAAACTCAGTATAAAAGGATATTATACATGAAATACTTGAGATATCATAGGTCGGAGAAGAAAGCTATTTTACTACAAAAACAACTTCATTTTATAAGGTACATATATGATGTACAAAAAAGTTAATAATACATCAGCTTCACTGATGAAAAATCAGTTTATTACAAAGAAAAGAGTAAAAGGTTTCTTGGAGAATGAGTTTATCAAAAGAAATCCACTTTTGTAGACTGAAAATCATTTGTACAATGCAATGTGTACAACTTGACAGTTGAGTTAAGTTAGCCCTGAAAAAACTTGTAGGTCAACTATGTACAAGTTTACAAAGTCAATTTATTTTTTGAAAGTTGTTCCTCCATATAGCCAGATTGTGAACAGTAAAAATTAAGTCAAGGAAAGAAAATCAGAGTCTTATATTTTGATTAATATGTTACTCTGGAAGTTACAGGATATTCTTTTAGACATTGCCACAATGAAATGTGTGAATTGGGGGTAAATAACATTAATTAAACCCTTATGGGCATGCAAGCACCCAATACTCAGACAGATAAATGGATAGTTTTGGAAATCTTGTACAGTCACAATTAGAAATATCACTAGTAGTTTTGTGCATCTTGAAGAGAATCATTTAATAATTTATTGTAATTTACTTTAGGCCTTGGGAAAATAGAATAATCACAGATTGTAGAATAGCCCTAGAAGTTTTTAAAATCAAGTTATTTCCCAACCAACAAATTTTGAATTGTAGGCAATTGTTTACTCTGATTTGTAGCCAAATTAGATGAAATTAGTCCTGATTTTTTTCCAAACAACAATAGCAATCTGATGTTGGAAGATAATTTCTCATAGTGTGGATTAAGTAAAAGAGCATATGGAACAAACTTCCAAATGATACCTTAAGATAAAAAGAATTCAGAATGAAAATAGCTTCATAGGTTTCACTTTAAGATCAACACTAGCACTAGACTGATTAAAACTCATTTCACTTTCTGGCCAACCCATTAAAGACTACCACTACAATCCTTTTTTTAGGCATTCTTTTTAGTTCCCTTGATAGAAGGGATTTTAGTATGGAGTATGCAGTTGCAGACTGTAAATATCTCTTAACAGATCACACTTTCTCAAATGTATTTTGTCGATGCACATACAGTTAACCACACATGTAAGCCAATATTTTGCCATAGTTTTGTAACATCCACTTATTGTTTCTATGTTTCTCTCAGTCATCAAAGAAACCATGCACTTTGCAGCTATCATAGTATAGTTTTGTTATACTTCTTTTCAAGATCCATGTAAGAGAACATGCGCAATGTCAATAGCAGGATTTAACTTTTTAATAAAAGAAAAAAAGATTTTAACAATATTGTGTGCAAGTTGTCATGTGTTATTTATTACCTTTACTTGAAACATGTGGTACAGAACAAAATTTCAACTTAGGTTTTTATAATTTGGTGCACTGCAGGACTCTTTAGCAAACTACAGGTGTGCAAAAGACAACTTAAAAACCTACTTACAAGACTTTTTTCACTTACTTTACTACTCTTTTCTTGTCTACATATTCCTAACCCCCTTCCCCACCTCCCAAGAAATCAGCGTTCTCTCCTATTTTAAGCCAGTTGGTAGAATAACCCTTTTGCCAGTTGAATTTTCAAGAAATCCGAGTTATTAAGGTGCTAATGAGAAGTACTACAGACAGTACATTTTACCACTTAATTACTACCTGAAAAGGACAACACAGCTTTACTATCTTTTCATTGCCTACAACCCTCACCAAAAGAGAGCAATCAACCAATACTTTGTTAAAAAAAGAAGTTCACAATTATTGTTGCACAAAGTCTCCCTTTAAGCAAGGCTTAAACTATGAAATACAAAATAAGCTTTTTATACTGTAAAAAAAGAACAAACAAACAAACAAACAAAAAACTAAGAAGTGCTATAATACTAATACCATTAACTAAGAACAAAGCACAAAACAAAGACATCTACAACTAATATTCTTATAACTATCAGTACTTCTTTGTTCACTTACCTATGACACAAGATCTAACGATTCTAGAAGAGAACACTTCCTCTTTACAGGCTTCCACTGTTTTTCACATTTCAAATAATTGTTAAGGACACCATCTTCTAAACATTCTTCAGTCGTAACAGATGATGAAAAAGCTGTTCCTCTTGTTTTAAACCTCTTTTTGGGTTGCCCATTTCTAGCAGAATTGTTCTTGCCATCTTGTCCAGGTATTGTTGCCATTTTCTGAATTGGTGAAGGTCTACAACAAGGCATCCTGTTTTCTTTTGCACACAGCATAATTTTTGGGAGTTCACTTGTGGACTTGTTCTTGGGTGTAGACCTACAGACCAAGTGATGACGTGAGGATTTGTAGAACTTGGTGGTTTTCCTGTTAAGCTGTGTATCTATTGTTACATCTGCAGGGCAGACTTTAGATTTTTCTTTCCAATCACTTATCACCTCAACAGCCCATCCTTTAGTAACTGTAAAGGTTTTCTCCTGCTTGAACTCTTCAAGCTGTTGTTGACAGGAGACAGAACAATATGCCTCAATAATAATAAAAACAATGATGCTCTGGGAATTTGTTTTGAGAGAGTTTATCAGAATCATCTGATCCATATGACAGTGGTCATGTGGCTGGGGTGGTGGACTCAGGATGGGGAAGTAAAGGTTTCAGCCAGCCTTCCTCAAAAGTCCCAATAACTTAACAGGCCCAAATTCATATTTTAAAACCATTAATAAAGGAATGAAAAAGCAAGTTCTGGCACCCTAACAGCTCCTTTTTGTTTCTTTAACTGAGAGTTTATTGAATAATTTTGAAAAATTTGAAACTCTCATCTTGAATGAAAACAGAACACCTTTACAAGCCTGTTTAGTTGGGTCCTTTGAGAAATGGTCCCATGGTCATTGTGTTTTGCTTTTGGGGAAGACACCTCACTCTCACAGCTGTCAAGGAAAGTTAAGTTACTACAGTGAAGGTAAAAGGTAAAGGTAACTTCAACAATCAAACCAGGTCGCCCATCTGGCCAGAGTTTATCCTGGTCTTTGTAGCATGAGGGGATTAGGAGTATTATCATCCTTGCTTGATTAGAAATTTGTTTGTTTGCAGGTTACAATAACACCCCACCTGCATTTTGCCAGGCTTCCCTCATTTACAATTTTTGGCCAACCATTTATACCCCCACTCAGAGACAGGCACTATGAGGTTTCAGTGTCTTGCCCAAAAACATATCAAAATGATCTTGCTAGATTTCAAAATTATACCTCTCAACATCGAGTCCAGTATCAAGGTTGTTGTAGGTGCCATGATACATGCTACAGAAACTGGGAAGAGTATTGCAGCACAATACATTTCAATTGTGTGTCCTACATGTTTCTACATCTTCTTAGTCAATATTTTAATTTTAAGCTTTAATATCTAGACTGACATAGTTGAATTTTTAACATTGTAGTGCATAATTGAAAAATTCATATTGATAATTGCACAATACAAGTCAATAAATTATTATTATTATCATTACTAAAAACAAAACCAAAGAATTCAAAACAGCCAGAAGAAAGGAATATTATAACAGGAGCCAAAAACAAAACAAAGTAGAAAACAGAAAAACTGCTTAAAAAGATGGAAAGTGTGAGTGACAAAGTTGCAATTGGTTTTAATTTTGAAACTAGTAATGCAAGTTTTCTGAACCAATCACATAGCAAAGTAAATGATCATCACAGCAATTCTAGACTAGTATCAACATTCAATTCAAAATTGCTCTTAAAACTTCACTACCACATAAACCATATGACCACTTACATCTAGTGCTAGACACAGGGTTGTGTCTTTTATAAGCTGCGGAACTCCATGACCAAATGATATTCTTGTACCTGACAGATTTAAAGCACTCAAGGAATGCAACTTGGCTATGTGCTTCACACTTTTATCTGTTATATTTGGATTCAAGGATAAATCCAACACTGAAAGCTTTCCAAGTCCACTTTTGAAAAAGCGCCGAGGTAAGGTAAAGTGTCTCACACCAGCATCAGAGAGACAGTTATCTTTGAGACTAAGGCTTTTCAAGCTGGGTGAAAAAAATCAATCAATAATTACCAGTAAAAGTATAAATCTATCATGATTGCATGTATAACTTTTGTGTCATAACACATGAAGATTTTTAGAAATTTAATTAAAATTTATACTCTAAGAAAACTTGATCATTCCAATTACACACAAATTATCCAAAACACCATTTGAAGAAACTGGAGGGAAGCGGTTATATTCAGCTGAAAACAATACAAAATTTATTATATAAAAAAACATCCACTTTCACATTGTTGAGACTTTTGTAATGACAATTTTTTTTCCAAACTACCTCAAGGTCCTCTCACAAATTGTGCGGACAGGACTTTAAAGGATAAGGCAAGAAGATGCCTGCCTGAGAAGATTTTTATAAAGCAAAGCACCCCCAATTTTCCTAAACTCTCCACTCTCTTTCCTTTTGACTATTGTTCACCCCCTTGCTACAAATTTCACATTTTACCCAGCCTTCTGCTACTGTTAAAATCAAAGATGGCAGCTGTAGCCTATACCAAGAAACTGCTGACCACTGGCTTACCATTATGCTGATATGCATGCTATCCCAGGATCTAGTTAGTAGTTCTCCCTTCAGGCTGATAAATAATTATAACAGCTGTAGTTGCAATTTAATAAAGAGAATTTGGTACTGTAATACAATGTACTTACTTGTGTAAATGAGCAACATATGATAACAGCTCATGTGTATCTCCAAGACGACAATGACTGACATCAAGCTCTGTCAGGCATACAAACAGTTGAAGATATTCCAAATAGTTACTTGTAAAGACATGTGCTGAACTAAGTGACAGCTTTGATAACACCAATTCACCATACGCTTCACAAAATATCCTTATATTCCTGGGATCTGATCCAAATCCATCATTCTCTTGGACTTTTTGGAAAAGTTGTTCCCCGACAATGTCTGGAAACCCTTCTAATGATTCCACCATACATATGTTTTTGGCAACAAAATCCAAGCAAATAAGAAACAAGGATTGAGGATTTTGGATGTTGTTGTCAATGATAAATGAACAATTTGCTCCTGTGAATGACAATAAATGAAAAAAAGAAGGAATTAAAATTGTTCAAACAAACTTGTCTTATACAGGTAATTTTCCTGTAGGCGATGTGATGGTGGATACACCACCATGGAGAATATAGAAGCACAACAGCAAAGAGCATTAAATCCATTTATTATCTAGATACTGAGAAATTATCACAGTTTCTTCTGTTTCAGTTTAAGAAAATTAATGATTCCATGTTGCTATCCATCTGTTCTGTAATAGATCACAGATGACATTAATATGTGATAAGAACAAAAAAATGGCACAAGATGCGTTTATGTAGATGAGTAATGAGAATTATTACAAAATATAAGCTACAAGTTCTTGTTTGATTGAAGACCACATTCTCTTCGGAACCGACATTGCCAAAATTATGTAGCATGGCGGGGGGAGTATCAAAAGCTACATCTTTTCAGTGAAAGGGTTAACTTCAGGAGAGAAATTATTTGAAAAATCTTAAATTTGCTTTCAGATCACGCCATTTTGTCTACCAATAATTTATTTTCTTTTGTAAGAATCAACATAACTATGGCAATGATGAAACCGGTGAAAAGATACATTATCTGTTGACCCTTTTATTTCTAAGACCGAATTTCTCATTACTGTACCAATACAATATCAAGCAGACAGGTGTGCGAAAAACCAAAACTATAAAATTAGTTGATTATTACATAATGCAATAGCAAATTATCCGAACTAACATTTTAAGAATTTCATATTAGACAGTGAGAATAATTACTAATGAAATCTTGGAAGTCAAAGAGTCGAATATTTTTCTCCAATGTTCCACCCAAGATTTCATGAAATATTGCCAAATAACTGCTCGAGGAGATCACCTTGTGTAAACGCAAACGTACGGTAAATGCCGAGTACAGTATACATTATTGAATACAAAAATAAAGAAAATCATTGCCATTAACAAAAATAAAAAATGAAAAGCCAGTACCTTTGGGGACATTATTTTTGAAGGAATTACTGTTCTTGCAGCCTATCGAAAAGCCAGGTGGTGAAACTACTCGGCCGTATTTGTTTCTTGTGTAAACCACACCAACATCGCTCCAACTTTCAAAGACGTCTCTTGCAAACCCTTCAAACGACATACCTGCAGAAAGGCGAGTGGAATATCTTTTGTGATGGAAATGTTGGTGATCTCAACAGTTACCAAAACATTACGATGCGAAAACATGGGCGTTTTGTATTTTCCCGCCATGCTGCGCGTTGCGGTAT